GTAAATGTTCCTAATTTCCTTGAATGTTTTACGTTGTAGGAGGAAATGGATCTCTGTCTCACCATCACCTGTTTTTCTGTGCACGAGTGAAATGTGTCCACAGGATTCTGTCTGTCTCATACTTCAATACCATACAGCAGAAATGGGGACTTGATACTCGAATGTCTGCTGAGCTTGCTGTTATTCCCCTCCCTGCGTTACCTATAACCTAACTACATAACACATACGACGTATCTGCAGCATGCGGCCACACGTGAGAGAGGACAATAAATATGTTGATGGTTTTCATCCTACTTGTCATTCATCATAAACTTTGGCTTTAAAACTTCATACAACAAGGCCCAAACAAAAGAAGAGCTGAACACAGAATAGGTTAGTAACCTGAGGTTAGTAACCATGTTTAGCACAGCATTGGCCATCTGTGGGACCCCTCTCTCCTTCCACGGCTTTCCTCCTGCTCAACACTGAGGCACCTGTCGACCTGGGCTGAAGTGGTGGTCCGCGGTAGCCGAAGTCAGTGGATTTTAGGCTTGAGGCACCGGCTTGGGATATCTGGTACTGCTTTAGAATGCTTTTCATCCTACTTGTCAAATAGGATGTTCTGTGTCCTGTGAATAACTATGTCTATTCATTCTGTTCGGTTAAATATGGTGTGCCTTAAGGGTTGGTCTAAGGACTTATCTGTTGCCTTGGCTTTTGGATTATGTTTCGTCTGGATTATAACCTTTGTTTGGACTTTTGACTGGCGTTCTCCCCATGTAAGCCTATTTAAGTTTACTTTAATAAAACACTAAACGTCACCCTGCTCGACTGTGACTGCATTTGGGTCCACACCTCCGTTATCTGCCTCTGCACCCAGCCTTCCTGACAGATTTGCGACCACTCATGAATAGAGGAAATGAGCCCTTTGCACCAGCCTGCCGGAGCTAATCATGGCCATTTTGGTTAGTGCTTGTGCTCACACCAGTAGTGCCGCAGTGCTTCTCAGAAGCAGCTCTACGCTCCTTTGCGAGGAGAAAAGGCAGCCAGCCTTTTTTAGCCTTTTTTTGACGGAAGACAAGAGCAGATGCCCCATGCAGGACGTCAGACAGAGAAAGGTAATTGAGAATCTGGTTGATTTTCAAAATAAAAAACCCTGTGCAGACTCCCCATCGTATATCAACAATAACCACAGTTAAAAAACTATTTAACTACGTAGCCTACTTAGCCATGGTAGAAGCACAAGAATCAAGGACTGGGTCTGGGAAAAAATGGTTCACAGAGAGCTGTTTTCGGTAGCAGAAGCACACAAAATTACAAATAATCAACAAGTCAAGGCTAAATGCTCCGCTGCTGAAATGCTTCTGAGGCGCTTCCAGTGTGAGTTGACGCAGGGCTGAGGACGGATTCAAATCAGATCGGATGGATCCACATGCCGCCTGTATGAGTCCGGCGTAACACCATGTTGAACAACTTTAGCACTGCATCCTGCATCTCTGGGAAGCTGCATTTGAGCATTTTGTTTTTAATGCAGTCTGGACCACAAGCTTTCCTTGGTTGGAGAGATTTTGTCTGTATATATTAAAATGTATTTATTAGGAAAAACTGCACCATTTCGTTTTCGAGGGTGTCCTAACATACAATACAACCATAACAACAGAACAGAGACAAAATAAAGAAGTGCAGTTTTCCATTTGTCAATGTACAGACAAGAGAACAGATAACACACACAGACCCACACTTAACTAACATCATCAATAAAATAGATAATTTAGTACTACAGCCTAGTACTACAGGCAAAAAAATGCTTTACAATAATTAGAAGCAATATCACTCAGTGTGAACCAAGGCCAAAACAATAAACAAAAGAAAATTATGACTAATCTTTGGTAAAGCAGAACAAAACCAAAAGAGATTTACTACGCCTGGCTCTTCAAGGTAAAACAAAAATGGGAGTAAACTGTTCAAAAGAAAATGTGGGTTATTCTATTTACACAAATACAACACAACCGCTAGGCACTGGGCCTAGCAAAAACTCGAGATTGTCACACACAGACTAAAAAGAAGCTACAGAACAGCTTTGGATGTTGAGGACAGAACAGTGATGATTCTGTCAGGTGTCCGTCACCATTATAGAGTTATAGATTTGTCTCTGTGTCCTTCCAAAGGACAAGAGTGACAGAAAATTCTCCATTGGCTGCCATTGTAAGTTCTCCTCAAATTTTCTTGACCAGAGCAGAACGTACCAGTTTTCAACTCACCAAAGTGGTCACTTTTATCAATTTATCCAAACAAAAAATAGATTATGTTGTTCACAAATGCCTTCTGCCACTCCCAGTCAAGTCATTTCGTCCATACGACCTATAGTTTAGTCTCTGAGGAGGTTAGTTTGAGGCAAAGTCTCAGAGAGTTTCCTATCTGTCTATATAGGATAGCTGGTTGCCCAGGTGATAATAAGCAGAGAAAGATCAAAGGGAGACACACATTCTCTCACTCACTCGCACTTTGTCCTGCGTTCCGATTAGTGGACAGACGTTAAGCTATTTCTTGAATGAAGTTAAGTGTACTGCATCTGCTACTACAACCACTACTACTGCAGAAATTGCACGTAGTTGCTAGTTAATGACAGTAATTATCAGGGATGGCACGATGGTCTGGTGGATAGCGCTTTGGCCTCCCAGCAAGAAGGTTGCGGGTTCAAGCCCTGGTTGCCTTGGCCTTTTGCATGTTCTTCCCATGTCTGCGTGTGTTCTTTCCGGGTGCTCCGGCTTCCTCCCAAGTTGGCCTAGGTTGATTGGTGACCCTAAATTGTCCTTAGGTGTGAGTTTGACTAGTTGTTTGTCTATATGTTGCCCTGCGATGGATTGGCGACCTGTCCAGGGTGTACCCCGCCTTTCGCCCGATGTCAACTGGGACTGGCTCCAGCCCCCGGGACCCTATACGCAGGATAAGCGGTTGACGATGGATGGATGGTAATTACTCTTGTTTTATTTAATATAGAAATTGATTCAATTAAAACCCTAATTCCCAACTATTCTAAATGCTGCATTAAGTCTGTATTTTATGCAATTGATGGCCTTCGGAGTTGCCATGTTTAGTTGATCAGTGTTCCAATAGAATAAGTGTGGCACACTAGGCTAAATGCCCCAGTGAACTGCAGGCTACCCCATCAGTATGAAATAATATTCACACAATTGTCTGTGCCAAGAAACAGTCATTTTTACTGTTAGTAATTGCATTGTTTCTAATTGATCAAAATTGATGTACAATTTTAATGGGAGTAGGGAGTTGAAGTAATCACATTTATGGTCTTATTTGGGCAAGTAGCTTACTAACCAAACCCTCACTGTACGCAGCAAATGTATTTTAAGAAAGTTTCAATAAACAAGCATTACCTCAAAAAGGACACGTTCTGTTCTGAGGCACAATGTAATTTCAAATTCATTCCCTGCAAGTGACCACAACGATATGCTGGTTTTATATAATAAATATAAAATGATACACGGGTAACAGGGTGGACATCACACCAGAGAAGAACAATACGTTTCATTAAAGAATGGCAACTTAGTATTGAAGAGGACAGGAGCCTGCAGATTGGGGTTTACAGAAAACCCACACACACAGACCAATACCTACTGTTCGTTTCACACCACCCACTGGAGCACAAGCTAGGGGTCAGGAGAACACTGCACCACAGAGCGGAAAACATACCAACAAGCACCCAAGCCAGAGAGAAGGAACAGAACCACCTGAAGGGGGCACTTACAGCCTGTGGATACCCTAAATGGACCTTTGTGAAAACAGCCACAAGATCCAAGAAGAACAAAACTACAGGGGAGGAAAAGAAGGTCAAACGCAACAACATTGTGATTCCATACGTGTCTGGAGTATCAGAGAAACTCAGGAGGATTTTCAACAAACACAACAAACACAACATCCCTGTGTTTTTTAAACCTAAGACAGATACTGCACACCCAAACACAAGAAAAGCAATCTAGTGTATGCGGTCCAATGCAGTGAGGAATGCACAGACCTGTATATTGGGGAGACTAAACAACCACTACACAAACGCATGGCTCAACACAGAAGGGCCAACTCCTCAGGTCAAGACTCTGCAGTCTACTAACATTTGAAGGACAGGACACTCGTTTGAGGACCACCAGGTGCACATTTTAGACAGAGAAGATGGATGGTTTGAAAGAGGTGTCAAGGAAGCCATCTACACCCGGGTGGAGAAGCCGTCATTGAACAGAGGAGGGGGTCTACGCCACCACTTATCCCCCACTTACAATGCTGTCCTTTCATCACTTCCCAGGAAACTCAACAAACGTAACCTATTGGCCTCAGGTGAAGATACCAACGATGGTCGTTCAGTCTTGGCCACAGGTAGTCTCAACGACTGTAACGACTGTCGTCACAGCAACAAGGAACACTAACGAACCAGCGGTATCGACGATCCTGGCAAACGACCCCACTGAGGTTAAATAGCTGAGTTTCCCTGCCAGTCAGTCAGAACTGAAGAAGTCCTTTGGAAGAGGGATGAAATGTCTTCCAGTATCTTCAACCAAGTCCAGTTGCCCTTGACTTTAACCTTCGTTGGATAACTATGACCTGGATGACTGAGAATCTTCATAGACAATGGCAACTTAGGTACACCCACCCCCACCATTAAATGTACTGAAGAATCAGTTGACACCAGTGTGCAATAATACTTTTCATTAAAGAAAGGCAACTCATCCTTGCACCCCCACCAACCCTTCCACCATCAAATGTACTGAACACTAACTGGAAAGACCTTATTTAGAAGTCATGGCTCTTTCATCAGGCACACAGTCTGTTCATTGCTATACCAGCTAATGTCCTCTCGTGGACATGGCCAGTAAAACTTTGTCCCATTCTTATGTATGCATTTCACTCTTGAATTATTAACCTCCAGGATGATTCCTGGGTAGGTTTCACCATCGTAGTTGGCAACAAACCACTGCCCAATGTTGTCTTTCATGATGACCTTTGGCCATGATGTTTCTTTGGTGGAATGCGGGCTTGCTTCTACTCCACAGTTCTCCTATTTAAATCCATAGCACGCACAATCAAGTACACCTTTTTATGTCTGGCAAAGGCAAGTTATGTCCCGGTATTTAATTGTCCCTGGAGAGATACTGACGGCATGATGGATTTTCATTGTTCCTTTGACAGGCACAAGTGGGGGCACAACAATCCTTTCCTGAAATGGCCTCTGCATTGGGAATATATTCTCCATGGTGGACAGTTTTGTCAGCTGATCTTTTAAGGGTACCCCCCAAAACCATCTGGAGCCCCCTTTCCAAGACTGACCTCAAAAGGTAAAAGTTGCCCTTCTGTTTGTATTATGTAGCTAGGCTGCTGCTGAAGACATGGAGGCGAATAATTAGAGGATATCTCTCCCTCCCCATGTCTAACACAGGACTGAGGTGAGCCCATATAGCTGTGGGATCATGCCTCCTGCAAGGTGAGATGGAACATTAAGTCACTGGTGATTGTTCAGCTGCAGTGTACAGCACTATACTATGTAGAGTGGGTTGCTGATTTGACCCTCGGAAATAGGTTGATCGAATTACTTAGCGGAGTGGTTCTCACTGAAATCTTTGTAGTAGACATTCATTGTTCCTCAAGTTTCCACTCAGCTGTCTGTAGGCCTCATACTACAATTGGTTATTAAAGATGTGCTGCCTGTCGTGGAAGTGCACTCTGTTATCACATTTTTCTTTGACTGACCTTTCCCCGGACTCCTCCATCGTTCACTTTGGAATTGTCTTTCAGAGTCCGTTGGGTAAGGGCTATCTCTGTGTTGGCAGAAGGTCTCAGCATTGTATGTGTTGAGTAGACAGTCTTTCCACTCACCATACACACAGAGTTTGGATTTGGGATTGCACATATCTACAATCTCCTCAAGGGTTTTCATTAGCTGTACAGGTTGTTGGCAATGAACTATAGGAGCTTTCATAATCAGCTTCTGTTGGTGCCAACAGAAGCTGATTATGAAAGCTGATTGAAACAAGAGTAGGATACCTGGTGCTCATTTTCTGAAAGGAACTTCTGGTGCAGATTCTTCACTGTGTCGGTTAGCAAACATTTCTGTTTTTGCTTCTTCTTTGGAGTTACAGTTTGCTTTCGTCCTGTCATCATCCGAGTGATGTCGTCTCTTAAAAAGAAAGCCTTTAATTTCTGTTTGCATTCAGGAGGTAATCTATTGCTCTTATTTCTTTCAAAGGTCATGAGCCCTCCATTTGGTCTTTGTACCCACTTTAAAAAAGCCCAGTCACCTGTGCAGTCCTCTGCAGCCTGTATTTCTTTAAAATGTTTCCAATTGTTGTTTTTTGCAGTAATTTGCCTCTCCCGTTCCTTCTTGGTGGTGGTCTATTTATTTCTTATGTCCTCAATTATTGATTCCTGCAGCAACAACCTTCTCCTAATGGTGTTGTTTACTGTTTGATGGCGAAGCAGTGCATCTACTGTAGAACTTTTTTCTGCCAAACACTGGTACCTCATCTGGTATATTTATTTATATTTTTTTCTTCTCTTTTCTGTGTGGAGACAAGGCCTTTAGTTGTTCCATCTCTTTCTGGAGCCTTCTTCTCCCCGTCTGATATTCCTACATCCAACAACATATTGCCTAAAGCATATTGTCAATTTTTACAATCATTCTAACAGAAATGGTTTTAAACATGTATTAAACAATTCTAGCATAGAAGACCATTAGTCATATTAAAGTGAGTCACTCTTATACCTGTTCTCATACCTGTACCAGGGGTTGAGCGAGTACTGTTGAAATGAGTATCTGTTTCAACCAACCAGACTCAAATAGCACTGAATGTTAGAAACGACCCACCTGTATGTGCGAGGGCTGTCAGTGGCTTTCCAGGCTTTGCTAATTCACAAAATCCATATACAGGCGAGGTGAAAAGGCAGAGTATGTGCCACTGTGCTGTCTCCAATACTCTCTGTGCACCTGACAGCACTGTTAGTGTTCACTGCAGTGACTTTACACCCCAAAACTATACATTATAACTAAAATTATACCTAATGGTATATGCAAGTTTGAATCCATCATCCGATAAATAAAAATTGTTACCCACAGACACCTTGCACACTTTATTATTCTATTTGTTGCTAAAATTCACAATACAAGACACTATGGAGTCGTCAAGCAGTGAAGATAACTTTGTGACCAGCTCATCTGTCTGCAGCTCCTGATGCTGTTGTTGCTGTCTCTCGTTCCTTCTCGCTGCCGGAGGAACCTATTGAAAATGCAGGCTATCTGAGTGCTACATTGCTATTGTGATGCGAAAAAACACAGAAAATCAAACTTGTTCCGAAAACCTTAATGACGGGCAAAAGTTTTGGAGTCTTTGTGCAAACGTGATGACACAACAAGAAGCCACATTTCTTTTTAAACGTGCAACAATATGGGATGAATAATACAGACTTGTGTGCGAAGGCCATTGCAGGCAAAGCAGAGTAAATGTAACTTGTTAGTACCTACCTCATAACCCAAATTACCATTTGGGTTTAACTTTTATTTATCTGGATTAAGAATAATCTTTATACGACAATGGAGTTTAAATTGAACACTCCAACTTTGACAGTATAAAGCCTTCATCTATGAAGAAGGAAAGGCCCATGACACTTATGAAACCCTCTACAAAGTCCAAAAACATAATGAAAAGGAAAAACTGATGTAAAGGACAAATTATTCATATAGACAATCTAAAAAGATAAGCTGCAGCAGCTTACTAATGTTACTTGGGTATAAAATGGGAAGAAAAGCTTTACAATAACTCATTCCTGTCTTGAAGATGTGAAGCAGTAATTCAATGAGTTAAAGCTGATTTGATAAATTAGTCTTTTTCACTCATTATCATAGTTAACCAAGCACTTAGCACTGCCACAGAGAGATCTCAGAAGTCAGTTGTCAGTGAGAGCCTGTAAAATTGTTTTTATGGCAGATGGATATATATATATATATATATATATATATATAGCATGTTTTATACAAAATGAGCTTTACACACATAGCCTTTTCAGAGCTGAATATCTGATGACTGTTGTGTTGATTAACAATTTCCCCTTTGTAATCGTTTTCTGTTTTGATATCTGATTTCCTGGACTATTTACATTCTAGTTTATGTGGACTTGATTTATGTAACCTTGATACATTTGTTGAACTCCTGTAGCCATAGTAGTGTTGTCTGTTTTTGGGTCCTGAAACCTGTTAATCTACCTGAGCTCATGTCCAAGTGATAAAAAGGGCAAATAAAACACAATTTCCCAACAACAACAATTCTGACTAGGGAAAGTTCTGAGTGGTTAGTAACTTTGGAAAACCACTAGCCACAGTGGCTGGTGAGCAAAAAAGTTAATGTCAAGCTGTGGTGACAAACCCTGAGATCTGACACCAACCAATTTGTTCCCATTGACTGTAATGAGCTTTTTAGCCTCTTCGAGGTCATTGTTTTGGTTTTGCAGGCCTCAACTTTGTTTATTGAAGGCATTGTGGTGATCTAGCATTCTAAGACATGTACTGGTATCTTCAAAACTGCTGGTTCATACCGTGGGCCTGTTTTTTCTTTTTGAAATTGTACATTGGAAAAAATCCGTCCAGGCTTAGCTGTATTTAAGTGCATGCAGTGTAACAAAGCGATGGCGATTAATATCGGCATTTCGATTCAAAACATTTACTGCCTCCCCTATTCTTTCTGCAGTGCAGTTGGTGATTAAAATGTTCTCACAGAAAACTCAGAAATGATGGTCAAAACTACATAACTATAACCCAATTTGTAAAAAAGGATGACTTTTCATTAAAGGGAGAGAAGCAGGATTGTTGATGTTTGAACTTAACTGCCAAACAAATACACCCCTTCCTTCAGTGCTCCTTCAGAAGCACTGAGGTTTTTCCAGCGTTGAAACGCCTACATCCTAACCTGGTCATATAACTTTCTTCTGTTTACACTTTTTTCCTCTTTGGGTATTTCTTGATCATCACTCCTTTCTCACAGTGCCTGAAATCCAGGACGTTCCAATGTGCCAGTGTATAGAACTCTCTCTCCCACTGCCCCCCCCCCCCCCCCCCCATCACTCCTTTGCATGATGTTTTTTCAAAGCATACACAAAACAGACAGCTAGCAAACTGTGTGGACATATTCACTGAATTAAAAAAAGAGTGTATTGGAATCAGTGGCGGCTCCTGCCAAATCTTTCAGTGGGGGCAATTGTTGCGATGATGCTAAGATGACCAGAGGTCTGTACCACGAAGCAGGATTTGAGTTTATCCAGGTAACTTTGGGGTTAATCCTGGGTTTTCAGTACCATGAAGGTGGTTCACTTCTTACCGGGGTAGATCTCCATGGTAACTGATGCTGAACGGCTAACCTGCTCCGGACCAGGTTATGTGCCAGATAAGAGATCAACTCTGTGAAAACGCCGCCTACTGACCAATCAGCTCTCTTGGAAAATGACATCACCATCTGTAGGAAATCCCACAGACTTTTTTAGCCAATAGGCTGCTTTATGTTTGCAGCGGTGATGTGGAGAATAGCGATATAATCCTACAGAGACTGATTAAAAGCCTTAGGCTATTGTTGCCTACAGGTTTTTACAGTACAGCAGGAGCCTACAGCCTACTTAGTGCTTTGAAATGTGTTTAATATTTTTTATTTGCTCCCAGTTCGTTTCATCCACCCCGACGCAGCTGTTAAAATAAATGGGTTTTACTTTTCTTATGTGAGGCTGAATATTATGAGCAGTTTGGTAGGGATATTGAAATACTAAATTTTAATATGAACGTAGGCTATCTATTTTAGGTTAGTATAGCTTTCTTAGGCCTACTACAGAGACTGTAGTCATGTTCCGCCCCACCTTTTGCGATGTGGCCGCAGGTAATGAGGTGAGTTTTCAGCAGCCTAAATGTTGAGATTCAGTCTTTCAAACATTATTTGAGCACATTTTATGGCATGAATGGAGTTTTCGTTTCATTGCTTTATGAAGTTAATTTAGAACAATGTTTGGAACACTTGGAACACACCGCCTCTTTTATGTGAACGCTCTCCCGGGTGGATTGGGAAACCCTGGGTTGACTTACTGAGTTGATAACCAGCTTCGTGGTACCACTTATCCCGATCGCGATTGTTAGGGTTAGTTAAGCCAGATAAGGAAAACATATCCTGGGTATGTTGAACTCGCTTCATTGTACAGGCCCCAGTTCAATGGTCTAAGTCAGCTATAAGACAAGGATTGTTCTTAGGCTACATACTTAAGTTCTTTGTCAGTGTCTACAATGAAACAGTCCACAGTGAAGATCAACAGA